AACTCCAAGACAGGCTGGCTGGCTGGCTAAGACAGCAGTTATGGAAGTGAGCAAGGATCAGAAGAGTAGGACCTGAAGGGTTTAGATGTTATTCCGGAATAATGGAAAGTCACTGGAGAGGGCCTCAGACATCCTTACTCATTCCCTTAGATCTGAGTTAAGAGAAGGCACAATTTCTCAGAAAAGCACCGCAAAACCTGGCTGAGTTGGTTGCGAAACCAAACTACTTACTGTATCTCCAAGCACAGGCAGATGCCTAAACCAGCCCTGCCTGTGTCAGAAGAATTTTCTGGCCCCTGCAGAATACAGAGTGCCTTTTCTCCTCTTGGTTGAGGTTCTCAAAGTGGGGTTTTGGACAACCACTGCAAGATCACAGGGATCCTGTTAGAAATGCAAATTTCTGGGGCCCCACCACAGAGCTATTAAATCTGAAACTCAGTAACCTGGTTTTTTTGTGTTGTTTTTTTTTCTTAGTGTTTGCTCCTCTGCAGTGCTACTGAGGAACACAGGGCCCAGCATACCCTAGGTAAGCACTCCTCCACTGAGCTGTATCCCCAGACCAGCACTCTGTCTTTAACAAGTCCTCCAAATAATGTGAATGTGTTAAGAGAATTCCTCAGGGTCATCCACAAGCAGTAGCCGCCATCACCAACTCTCCAAAGCCGTATGTTTCCTCTCTTCCGGCAGCTCCTGCACTGCACGCCAGGCCATCCTCTTCTGAAACTCTACCAGTGGGTTCTTTCTGCCTGTAAATCTCTTGCCCCAACTCATTTTTCTAACTAATTTGATTTCCTGGACATGCTACTCAATTGTGTAAGCCTCTTCTATCCAATGGCAATACTCCTCTACCTTCCTATTTTTAAAGTTTAATTTTACTTTGAGCCTTAGATCCTCCAAGACAGATACAAAGGGCAATTTCAGCAATTACCTAGACTTTCTCCAATACCTCTCAGTCACCAGATTTCCTTTTCTATTCATTCATTCCACTTTCATATTTTCCAACAAGTGTTTGTGCACTCAGAATTCTAGGAACTAAATGCACTAAGTGCCAGTTCTTCATTGATACCTAAAACAGACCTCACTGCTGCCCTTGGGAAACTGTCCCATTCACAGAGGATGGCAAGATGCAAACAAATGATATACCTGAAAGGCCTGAGGAGTTTGTTGGGCTGGGACTTGAATAATGACAAAAAGGCAAACCCTGATGGACGTTCACACAGCAAACATTTGGGCGCTGAGTCTGTGCCAGATGCTAAGTTCTCCCATGTATTATCCATGTAATCTTCCAACAGCCTTGGAGATAAACAGTATTCTCATCCCTCTGTACAAGAAAGGAAACTGAGGTACAGGGAGAATGAGGAGTATGTCGACAGGAAAGCCAGGATTCGGCCCCGTTAAGAGTAGCTGTAGAACCTACTGACCACCAGGTGAGACGAGCAGGGTAGAAGGTTAAGGATGGGGGAGAGGCAGAGCAGGTCCAGACAGACAGACCAGCACATCCAGGAGCCCCTAGGCAGAGAAAAGTCAGCCTGAAGCCTGAAAGAAAGTCGGGCACATTGGTGAAACTGGGAAGTATCAAATTTATTGGAAATAACACTGCGAAAGTGAACTGGACAAGTTGTACTGATGGATGCATGGTACTGATATAAATGTGAGCCCTAAGGAAGGAGAAAGAATCAAGAATAACTCCTGCTTTTCAGATTTCATTTAAAATCCTGAGAACCGTCTGTTTCCTGAGAGTGAAGTATTCTACCTAATGTACAATAAAGTTCTATGAAACACTGATGCACAGCAAACTCTTGAACGAATATAATCAGTAGATCAAGCAAGTTAAGGATCCCAGTTCTCACTTTCCAATTCTTCTCTACAGGAGGTCCTCATTGAAGAACCCCACTCTATCCCTTGGGGGCCATTTCCCAGAACAATGATGCCACTGTAATACCGACAATATAAACCACAAACACAGTAAGGAGGATGGCCTCTACTAAGTGAAAGGGTTCTCTCACACACTGTCAGAACTTTTTTCCACAAATTTTCAAATGAAGACAATTAAGCTAATTTATAAATGAGAAATTACACAACTTTCCAACTGGAAAGATGCTAAATCAGAATGCAAATCCACAACTGCCCTATTTGGAAGCCTACACTTCCTCCATTAAATCAGTACTTCCCACAGTGTGGGACACGTATCTCTGATGAATCATATTATAGTTTTAGGAGCACAAATCAACTTTTTAAAGTGTAATGCTATGGTCACCTTTAAATCTGTATAATTATCAATTTTGTGTGCATATACAACGGCAAACAAATTAAGGGTGTAACTTATAATTTCATATAAACTTTGTACATTCTTATTCATATTGCAATAAATTTATGATTTCCCCCTAGGAAACACAAAAAGGTCCCCTGAAGGTTGAAGTAAACATTAGAAGGAGGTGGTGGCACACACCTGTAACTCCAGCAATTTGAGAGGCTAAGGCAGGAGGATTCCAAGTTTCAGCCTAGTATGGGCAACTTAACAACTTAATGAAACCCAGTCTCAAAGTTTAAAAAGGGCCAGAGGATGCTGCTCAGTATGAAGGCCTCGGGTCCAATCCCCAGTATCAAAAAAAGGAAAATATTATAATAAGAGTACACAGTTGGTATACAGACAGAAATTTTGATGAATACATAAATAACTAAGCTTAGGAAACTACTTACCACCTAAGAACAGCCAAGCACCTGTTCCATATTGTACCCAAATCTAACTCTCTGCTCACGCATGTCTCTGCTCAACAGAGATAAAATATCATTTGCATTGGGGGAAGGGAATAACACCAGAACATAATTTAGCATAAATCATAATGCAGTACCTGGTTTTGACACAAATACTGGATTGATAATCCAACTCTGCTTATTCACCATACACCTTGGTTAAATCAAAGTTTTCCTGGGCTTCAGGTGCACTTTGCCAAAAAGAAAATACTAAAAGTAGTCTCCAAAGTCACTTCCAGTTTTAGAATTCCACAAAACGACCTTTGAAATCCATAATTATTCTTTCCAGAATCACAGAGGACCCCAGCCTGAGTCTTGTATGAGTATTATCATAAAAAAGTAAATACTAAGTAGGCCCACAAGCCACCACCTCTAAACTTGTGCTGCCATCGCTACCCTGGAGAAGCGTGGCATGTCCTAAATTACAAGACAATGACGAATGTCACTGTCCCCACAAAAACGCAAAGGATTTCCTGTAGTCATTCTGAAGTTAACTTTCACTCATAGTTCTCGCTCAGTTCTTTACACTCCGAAACAAGTCACTTCATTCTAAGTCAAGGTAGCCCCGTGAGGAAATGGATGGAGAAGAATCTACAAAATTTCATGAAACTCTTGCTCTCCTATGGAGCCTCTGCTGGGAACCACCTGTAAAACCTTCCCAGCTCCAATCTTAATTTTACTCCAGTGACGCTCAAATTTAACATCAAGCCTCTAAACAGCAGTTCTTCCTCCTTATTTCTCACATGTTATTAGCAAAACAGCCAGAACTAGCACTCACCCTCCATGGATGAGACAAGTATATTTATTAAAATGGAAGTCGTAAAGACTCCGCCTTGATTGATTTCCAAAGTCCTTTCTGTGAAATCAGCAGGCTGATAAACTTTTCACAGAGGACTTTTAGAGTCACAGAAAGCTAAGTTCTGAAAAGTGGTCATTTGTGTTGAACTGAAGAAAATACTGGATGGGTGGGCTGCAGCTGGCAAACTGAAAGCACAGCTGGGTAGCAGGTGACTCAAAAAGAGAGAGAAAGAGAGGCAAGTCCCTGGACAAATTGTGTAGCCAAGGGTGATCATTATTATAACTGGAGAACTGTTACATAATTACTTGTTAACTCCTGACAAACACATACACAGCTGTAAAATGCCATGGTTACCCTAGCCATGGAAGCCAGTATACCTGGTGCAAGACTTGAGGTTTCTCCAATTAATTTCATTCAAAGAAATGGCAATCCTAGGACCTATTCCCTTCCAAGGTAACTCTCCTGCTTTTACATATACAAAACAGTCTCAAGCAATTAAACCAATTGCCTCTAGGGACCAAAAAAAAAAAAAAAAAAATTAGGGTTTCTGCTTAAAATTGATTTTTTTTCGAAACAGAGGGGAACAAAAAACGCGACAA